GGTGCTGGGGGATTGAACCGCGGTCCCTGTGCTTTGCTAAGCTTGTTCTAAGTAGGTGCTTTAGACCACTGAGCCATCTCACCAGCCCCCTGCACAGCATTTTGTCTTACACAGATCCCCATGCAGGTACTAGGTTTAGCTATGTGGTAGTCTGAAGAAAATTTTGATTTCTAGGTATCAGATGAGTCATCAGTACTGGGGATTTTGAAACTATTGCTCCACTGTTACTCAGCTACTGTGTTTTGTCATGTCATTTTACTTCACTGCTGTGTCACTAAATGATTGGCTTCTCTCAAGATAGTAGCTTCACTGAACTGTGTTCCACTGAGGACTTGTGGGCATAACCTTAGCTTTTCGGAAGATAGACTCCCTTCCTCAATAGTGCTGGGTTGTTGTGGGGGATCAGCAGGTCCAGAAGACATAGAGCCAGGCGCCTCAGGCTAAAGGTGCAGTGGTCATTGGAGAATGTTTTCACCTCTAAACTTGGGTTTTTTCTGAGAGGATGTCACCATGTAGGTCAAGCTGGCCTTTAACTCACTATGTAGAAGCCTGGGCTGGCCTCAGACTTGTGGCAATTCTCCTGCCTCAGCCTGTTTAGTGCTGGAATTACAGGTGTGTACCACTAAGCCCAGCGAACATTGGGCATTTTCATAGCGTTGATTCTGCATCATCTCCTCTACTGCCAAATTTCTACCTAGGTGGTGAAATAGGAAAGTAGGGAACACCCACAACAACCCAAAGTAGGGAACACCCACAACAACCCAGAAAGCCAGTTTGATGGCATTTTACCTAGTGGAGAGATTCATGTTTGTATTTGGACACTTCCTCAGGACTTTGAAGTCACTGAGTTTCCCTTTTCCAGCAGTATACAGTCGTTCTCAGGCAGCTCCAGTGCTTTATTGGTGTCAGCTAACTGTGCTGTGCTACTCTTTCAGGCTATTTCAGCCATCAAGATCTTTTAAAAGGGGCCAGCCCTTGCCCGAGGCAGCATGCTACCTCTGCCTACTTATGTGCCCTTAACCAGCCCCTTTTTCTTCAGCTCTTCCACTTTGGCAATGTAGACCTTCACGGCATCCATCTTGGACATTCCTTTGTGCACATTCCACACCTCCCACTTGGCCTTGGCTTTCATGTCAGAGTCTGGAGGGGCAGGTATGTTGCAGTCTCCCTGAGTGGCCTGCTTGTAGAAGCTGTACACCAGCAGTTTCTCCTGGTCACCCACAGGCCCTTCAGTTCCTTGACGGCAGCGCAGACCAACTCAAACTCCCCTTGGCACATTGGGGTATTTGAGGCTTGGGGCTCTCTGTTCTTACCAGGTGACACCTGACATTAAAAATTGAAGAGGGAATAACTGTACACACAGAAGGCTTCTGGATTGCATCCACCTAGCAGTGCATTTTCTATTTTCTTTGTTTTGTTTTTTGAGACACAGAATCGATATGTAGTCCAGGCTGGCCTTGAACTCACTATGTAGCCTATGTCGGCCTCAACCTCACAGGGTTCCTTCTGCCTCAGCCTCCTGAGTGCTAGGCTTATAGGCATGCACCAGCACACCGGGTTTCCATTTTCTTTGAAACAATAGTTTCAAAGGAGTCTATGATCCTGGAAAATTAAGGATTGTGATTGCAGTATGAAGGCAATTGTGTCCAGTGGGCCTGGGCCAGGCAGAGTATGAGATCCGGGCACCTTCTGTGGGGAGGAAAATCTCGAAAGTGCCTGGTGCGTACTGTAGAATAAGCAGCCTAGACAACGGCATTGGTGCGAGTGAGTTGTATACGTGAGCTGTTGGGGATCCTGTAAGAGGGAAGGCGGGGATGGGGATTGTGGACAGGACCACCTGGACTCAGGAGCCCCAGAAAGGGGTAGTGCACAACGTTCTACCTGTGTGCCGAGAGAGGGCGCTGTGGGCTTGGAGGGCTCGTTGGCGAGGGGCGCGCGCGTGCGTGCGGAGCGCGAGCGACCTGCAGGGGGTGGGGCTGCGAGGGAAGGGGACCGGGCGGTGGGCGGGGCCTATGGCTCCGCCCCCACACCTCCCATTGTGCCGTGGCGCCTGCGTCGCGCAGGCTGCCTCGGTGAGGAGGGGCGGCTGTTGCGGCTCCCAGCGTCGCCGCCATGGACCTAGGTGGGTGCCCCGCTCCCCTACCCTGGCCCGCCTGGGCTGTACTCCACAACGCGCCTCCCGCGCAGGGCGGCTAGACGCGCCCCTCCTGCCGCGCACGCTGGCGCGGCCCGGGCCAAAGAAAACTTCCGGGCTGGTGTCCTTGGAGACCCGGCGTCAGGAGGCCGGGCTCTGGCCCAGGCCGCGCTGTCCTTTGCCTGGCTTCTTTCCCTTTCCAGCCCCCTTTTTTTTTTCACGGGAAAAAAAACTCAGTGAACGGGTGTGAAGTTGAATCCCCGGGAAGTAGACGTGGATTGTGCACGTGCTTGGGGTGATGCCTGGCTAGGCATAAGCTCGGGGAAATCAGGGACGATCTGACGTTCTCATGTATTGAACATCAGCTAAATTCTTGGGCAAGTTTACTACCCTCCCGGGACCCGTCGATAAAGCTGGGAGGATGGTACTGTTTTCCACCCAGAGTTTCAGGAGGAAACTCACAGTTTTCATTGTGACCACGTGCACGCAGTGTTGGGTACAGTGCAGTGGAGCTCTGCTGCGCGCCTGAGATCACAGTTCTGGGGAGGGGTTACGGCAACTGAGGTGGCACTTGCTGATGAACCTGCATGCAGCTTGATTCTGAGGAGGTCTGGAAAGAAGGAAAGCGGAGCTGATAGCTGGTTGCCAAGCTTCCGCACCCTCCTGGGTTGTGCTCTTAAGGGAGTAAGAGCGGGAGGCTGTCTTGAAGAGCCGGGGTATGGCACCCAAAGTCGTGCTAATAATAGTAGATGAGACTTGTGGCTGGCACCAGCAAGCTCTGCAGTGGTGGAGTAGCAGAGCTTGAAGAGTTTGTGGAGTCCTATGTTGTGGCATTTTCTGTCTTTGCCACACCACTTTGTGGTTGTCACATCCTGAGCAAATTGTGCCTGAGCCTCAGTGTGCCTGTCTTTAAAACAGGAATAATAATTTTTGAAGGGTTGATTTTGAATATTAAAAGGTGTTATATATGTACCACCTAGTGCAGTAACTTTGAGAGCTAAGCAAGCACTTAACAAACATAAGAAGTAGGTACCTACCTGCACCAGTTAACCATTAGAGATAAGCTATTAACTGCTTCTGGGGCTTTTTCAAGTAGCATTGTACATACAGTACTGTCTGGAAGGCAGGTATTGGGGCTAAACATCTGCTGAGCTGACTGCAATAAAGTTGAATTTACAGAGTCACACGGAAATACAATTTAGGGTCATTGGAGCGCAGCCTGATCAGAAAGAATGGTCCTAACTCCCAGAAAGATATACCCTACCCTAACCCCAGTAACCGAGACCCTGGGAGTCTGACCTGGCCACCAGAAACCAAGATGAATTGCTTTCACAAGTGAGTTGCATAGCAGTGCCAATTCTTGGCCTTTTATATTCCCATAAAAGTTGACAGGGAAGGATAGTCGTTAGACTTCTGGAATCAGTATTTTTCTGTGCTGGTTCCTGGCCTGTGAAAGTGGGGATGATGTAATCTTGAGGGACTAAAAATCTGGTATGTCTGGTCTCCAGCAAAAGGAAGAGGAATCAGAAACACTTTCATGAGTAGTGAGCAGTGGTTGTATTCTGATTTTAGTTTATGGGCCAAAAGAAACATTAGGTAGAGTTATGTCCCAAGCTGGACATGGTAGCACATTCATGGGATCCCAGTTATCTAGGAGACAGACAAGAGTATTGCAAGTTGAAGGCCAGGCTGGGGAAGAAAGGAAGGAAGGAAGATACTCAGACTGGGCTGAAAGGAAGGGAGGAAGGGAGGAAGGGAGAAGGGGCTGGGATGTAGTTCAGTGCTTCCAGGATTCAATCCCTGGTATTTGTCCTTTAAAGATTCTTTGTGTGTGTGTGTGTGTGTGGTTTTGTTTTTTGAGGCAGAATCTCACTATATAGTTCAGGCTGTCCTTGAACTCACCGTGTAGTCCCTGCTAGACTCAAACTCATGGCATTCCTCCTGCCTAATCTTCCCGAGTGCTGGGATTACAGGCAAATGCCACTATCCCCAACTTATGATTTTTTTTGGCTGGAGGCAGTTGTAGAGATTGAACCTGGGACCTTGCGTATATGTTAGGCAAATCATTTACCACTGCTTTTTAGCCGGCCTCATATCTCAGCCTCCTAACTGCTGAGAATAGTGACAAGATTCTGGTCCTGATAACAATGAAAAGGTTTAGGGAACCAATATTTATTAAATTTAATCAGGCTTGTGATGGTCTAAAGTTTAAAAAAAAATTATTTATCTTTGTTTTTGGAGACAGGGTCTATGTAATTCAGGCTGACCTGGAACTTGACCGGCCTCATATCTCAGCCTCCTAACGGTTAGAATTACAGGCTTGTGCCACCATGCCCATCTTATTTTTTTGCTAAGGCTTAAAACCTGGGCCTAATACAAGATATGTGAGCTCTGGACCACTAAGCATCATTCCCAGCCCTAGCCTAATACTAAATCCTTCTCTTCACCCATCCTGTGAGATGGGATTAAGAGATAACAGCAACAGCCCAGGTCCAGGGCTTTGGCTAGTGTATATAACTTAAGCCTCACGGTTCAACCATAAAGTGTGTTATGCACATGTATGCAGAAGGAAGACAGAGACGTAATCTGCCAAATCACATTGGTTTTGGTTTTTATTTTTTTGTTTTGCGATACCAGGGATTGAACTCGGGACCTTGTGCATGCAAGTCAGGTGCTTATACTGCTGAACCCTGTGCTCACACTGATTTTGAATGACTGAACTAGGATTTAAAACATTTCTGATTAAATTTCCAGGTTGTTTTTCCTAAATTTGTCAGTTAATAGGCTCACTGAAGAAATGACTTCACTTTTATTTAGTATAGTATTCTGTAGCTGTCTCCTGCTCTCTACCATAGAAGCAGGGCTGTGACTAGCCTGTCCTCTAACTGAAAGAAGCTGAGAGGTGACCTCTTGTTTCCTTGAAAGGGGGAAGAATGTTTGATACCCATTGGCAAGGCTATGAGAAAAAAAGGAAAAGAGGACTTGGGTGATTGTTTCTGTGTCTGTGGCTCTGGGGCTGTGCCCTCAGTCAGTCATTCCTGAGAAGCTTAGCTGGAGTGTCCAGGAATGTACTTGGTGCCCCCTCTAGTTTGGTACTGTCTTTGTGCTCTTTTTCTTTCTTTCTTTTTTTTTTTTTTGTTTGTTTGTTTGTTTGTTTGGTTGGTTGGTTGGTTTTGGTACCAGGGATTGAACTCAGGACCTTGCACTTGCTAGACTTGTGCTCTTTCTAAACCTTTCTCCCCAAGTGCTCTGGAGGCTTCCCCTTGCCGGAGGCTCTACCCTCACAGAGCAGCTTTCCTTTACCATCTTCCCAAGGGATCTCATTTACTTCTTTAGTTCCAGTGCCCCTCTGGGCAGATGCCTCCCAGATTCAGCTTTTAGGCCAGACTTTCCATCTGAGCTCATCGGAGCTCCAGCCCATGTTGTCATTGCTGGAGGACACCTCTTCCTTATATTCTACCTCAGACTCCCCAGGAACCAAAACTATATTTCTTCCCTCCAAATCTGTTCTGACTCTGTTCCCTGTTTTCTGGGGAATGTGTAGTTGTGTATGTGCTACTGGGGAATGAACCCAGGGCCTTGTACTTGCTCGACAAGTACTCTGCCACCTAGATTTAATTTTGTTAAATTTTGTTTTGAAACAGTGCTTCAATAAGTTGCCCAAGCTGGCTTCAAACTAATCCTTCAGTCTCAGCTTCCTGCTGCGTCCTCCTGAGTATCTGAGATTAACAAACATATCTCATCACACCTAGCTCTCGACTGTGTTACCTAATTGTTTTTCTGCCATACTGGAGATCTAACCCATGGCCTTATAAATGCTAGGAAGTGCTCTACCACTACCCAACTGTGTTCCTTTCTTGTAGGTACCCTTTGTCTTCTCAGTTCCCCAGCTAGGAAGCTTGGATGTGTTTTCTATTCCTCTGCTAAGTCCTAATGACTCCAGCTCTCAATGGCTCTTACAACCATCCCCCCTCCTCTCCCACTGATATCAGTTAAAGCCTTTATCTTAACTTTGTTAATGACCAACCTAATAACTGCTAACTTTTGCTTCCTGTTTTGGAAATTTTTCACTATACTCTTCATGTGGTTTCTTTGTGCAGGACCCTTCAATATCTGTGAAGAAATGACTATTCTACATGGGGGC